AATGTGAGGGGCAATCAAAGGGTTAACTGTGTGCTGTGTGTGTTTTACTAAGGAGCGGGGGTTTGTTCTTCACTGTAAGCACACTAATCGGGATGACTGTACTGTGCACAGCCATCCCGAGCAGTGTGCTCGAGCTGACAGGGAGGAAGATTGCTTGTAAACAAAACAATCTTCCTCCCCGGCAGAGATGCTCGGTAATCACCAGGCGCCGGCGGGTAATTACCTTCCGGAACCCGGTGATTGACATCGCGCTCCCCCTACCCGGATATGCAAAATCACATATATATATTTGATTTTGCGCACAGGTGCCACCCTCTAGCAGTATATCTGCTATAGGGCGGTCCTTAAGCAGTAAAAAATGTACCCAATGTGGTTGTTTTGTTCTCCATTGTGCCAAAGATAGCCAAACAAATATTCATAATCTGTAATTATGAACTTTACAACCATCATGCTAGCACACACCACAGACCATGAATGAAATACCTCATCTGCCACCAGAGTATATCAGCCAGCTGCCATTGCTGTTGCTGGTTGGCTGGAGTGCTCCAAGCTCCACTCCACACTGCATCCTATAAGGATGGATGAATGAATGAATGAAAGATCCACTTCCTCCATTCAATGATTTTTTTATTGCTCATAGAAGCTATAGTACAGCTTCTATGCATGTGAAAGGCCAAGATTAGTTGGCACACTTGAAGAGTGCATATGATAGGTCCCAGGGCTCTATTAATCCCTGTGGCACTGAAAAAGTACAGCAGTGAGGGTTGGGGGGAATCGGAGGACCGAAGAGTTCAACTAATTCTACAGCCATCAGCACAAAGGACATTTTCCATCTTAAGTAATATCTGCTGTTTTTTGTTTTTTTTTCACTAAACTTAAGCTTTAAAGACTAACTGTAGTCTTACTTATACCATTGTACTTTTATTTCACAGTATGGGAGCTTTTTGTACTTTTCTGAAACAAATAAAATTGACCTGAAGAGTCTCTATTGTGCAGAACACAATTTCCACACACAAATGACTTTATATTTTTAACCATGAATATTTTGTAAGAAGAAAACATTCTGGGAAAAGTACCATGACAATAGCTTAGCTTTATGCTATCCTCTCCTCCCCGCGTGTCAGACACATTAAGATATATTATTCCAGAGGTGACACTTTTTTGTGTGGAGTAGAACCTAGTAATCTTTCTAACTTCCAGTTGTGCTCAGAGCGTGACTACAAGCAAGGCAGTAGTAATAGATTTCTAATTAGCCATTCACACCTATTTATCACTGTTTGAGACAAACACTGTAAATACTGTAAACAACTTCATTTGTTGAGTGCTGAGATTCACACATCTGCAGGTCCAAGAGAAATACAGCATCATTATCCCAAAACACTTGCTACATCACTGGTCACATACTGAGATCTGGAATAGAGAGTGGTAAAATGTAACACAGCTTTCTACAGTGGAAAATAAACAAGATTGTAATCAACAACAAATCCATCTAAATAACCATAAGTTGCAGTCAATCATATATATATATATTATAAAAAAACTATCCAGCCACTTTATTAGGTACACCTGTTCAATTGCTTGGTAACCATAATTGCTAATCAGCCAGTCACATGGCAGCAACTCAATGCATTTAGACATCTAGACGTGGTGAAGAGGACTTACTGAAGTTCAAACCGAGGATCAGAATGGGGAAGAAAGGGGATTTAAGTGACTTTGAACGTAGCTTGGTTGTTGACTGGCCTGAGTATGTCAATTGTTGCTGATCTTCTGGGATTTTTACGCACAACTATCTCTAGGGAAATCAAGACTCATCAGCTCAGGCAATATTTTTCCAATCTTCTGTTGTCCAATGTTGGTAAGCCTGTGCAAATTGTAGCCTCCGTTTCCTGTTCTTAGCTTACAGGAGTGGTACCCGGTGTGGTTTTCTGCTGCTGTAGCCCATTTGCTTCAAGGTTCGACATGTTGTGTGTTCAGAGATGGTATTCTGCATACCTTGGATGTAAAAAGTGGTTATTTGAGTTACTGTTGCCTTTCTATCATCTCAAACCAGTCTGCCCATTCTGCTCTGACATCAACAAGGCATTTTTGTCCACACAACTGCAGCTCACTGGATATTTTCTCTTTTTGGGACCATTCTCTGTAATCCCCAGAGATGGTTATGCGTGAAAATCCCAGTAGACCAGCAGTTTTTGAAATACTCAGACCAGCCCATCTGGCACCAACAACCATGCCACATTCAAAGTCACTTAAATCCACTTTTTTCCCCATTCTGATGCTCGGTTTGAACTTCAGCAAGTCGTCTTCACCACATTTAACATCTAGATGCCTAAATGTATTGAGTTGCAGCCATGTGATTGGCTAATTAGCAATTTGTTTTACCAAGCAACTGAGCAGGTGTACCTAATAAACTGGCTGGTGAGTATATATATATATATATATATATATATATTTCTAGCCGGCAGGAACTTTGTATACAGTATATACTGTATATAGAGAGACAGAGATAGTGCAGGGGTTCGGAAATAAAAAAGAGGAAAAAGAATTGTAATAAACTGATTGGCATTTACAGCAGTCACATGACTTGTAAGCTCCCGATCACAAGTAGGCATTGGGAGTTTCCTTTTGCCTGCTGGTAACCGTGCTGGAAGCACACAAGGCATGTGCTCTGAGCTCAGAAATTTTTACATTTGGAACGCATATCTATGGCGTCTCGGTGTTAAATCCCTACCACTGAGAGGCAGCGTATATGCATATGCCCAAAAAGAACAGGCTAAGTTTTGATATGTTTGGTATCTATTACACAAGGCAATCCTATTTCTTATATTTTACTAAAAACACATTTTTTTACGCAAATATCGTGCACAATAAAAAGTTGCAACTGCCTCCTTTTTAATTTACAGGACCTCTGCTTTCAGAAAATCTAAAATGTTTGGGGGTTCTAAGTAATTTTCTAGCATGCTGATTTTAACATGTGTGAAACGTTTTAAAAGTTGCCCTGGACACAAAGTGGTTGAAGTGAAAGTAAAGTCCAGTTTAGAACTTGTACCTACAGGTAAGGTACAATGAACATCTCCTAAACTTGCACTGTTTAGGAGATATTCACTTAACATGCAGCCGGTGACGTCAGCGGCACATGTGCTCTGAAGGGACGACATATCATGCTGGACCTTCAGAGCTCCGTAATGTAGCTGAAAGCTCCCACGTGCATGTGCAGGAGTGATGTCATCGCGCCCCCAGCCATTCATACAGAAGGAAGACCAGGTGAAGATGGCAGTGCAGGGAAGTCATGACATCACTGCACTTAGTAAAGCTACGTTTATCATAGTGTACTAGTATGCAGTAATAACTTGTACCGCTGTAACCTCTTGCCCTCCAGAGGATTTACCTCCCTTCCTTACCAGGCCATTTTTTGCATTACAGCGCTGCGTTACTTTAACCACTTGCCTACAGGGCACTTATACCCCCTTCCTTACCAGGCCAATTTTCAGCTTTCAGCACTGTCACACTTTGAATGACAACTGCGCAGTCATGCAACATTATACCCATATGAAATGTGTATCATTTTTTTTTCTCACAAATAGAGCTTTCTTTTGGTGGTATTTTCTTGCAGCTGGGTGTTTTTACTTTTTGCGCTATAAACAAAAAAAGAGCAAAACATTTTAAAAAAAGTTTCTTTGTTTCTATTATAAAATTTTGCAAACAGGTAATTTTTCTCCTTCACTGATGTGCGTTGATGAGGCTGCACTGATAGGCAGCACTGATGGGCAGTGATAGGCGGCACTGATGGGCACTGATAGGCAGCACTGATAGGCAGCACTGATGGGCACTGATAGGCGGCATTGATAGGTAGCACTAATGAGGTGGCTTGGATAGGCGGCACTGATAGGCAACACTGATAGGCAGCACTGGTAGGCGGCACTGATAGGTGGCACTGATAGGCAGCACTGGCATGATGATGGGTACTGATAGTTGGCACCGACTGGCGGCACTGCTGGGCACTGACTGGTGGCACTGCTGGGCGACACTGACTGGCGGCAAAGCTGGGCTGCACTGATGGGCACTGCTGGGCACAGGTGGGTTGCACTTCTGGGCACAGGTGGGCGGCACTGCTGGGCACTGGTAGGTGGCACTGCAGGGCACTGGCGGGCAGCACTCCGGGGCACTGGTGGGTGCCACTGGTGGGCGCCACTGGTGGGCGGCACTGCTGGGCACTTGTTGGCTGAACTGGTGGGTGGCACTGCTGAGCACCGATCATCAGGGCACTGATCATCAGTGCCCTGATGATTGATACCGATCCCTGCTCTGACAACTGCCGGTTCTCTGCAGTACTTTCCTCACGCTCTGACAGCGTGAGGAAAGTGCAGCTGAGAACCAGCAATTGCATTTCCCGTTGATCAGCGTGCCATTGGACACGGCTGATCACGTGGTAAAAAGCCGCTGTGATTGGCCTTTGACCACATCACATGATCAGCTGTGTCCGTAGGACACCGATCACGGAGATCGCCGGGTGCGTTCCCCCAGGGGTGTGCAGGAGAGTGCATTCTGGGAGGACGTCATATGACGCCCCCCCAGAACTGGCCAGCCGTAGTGCAGCCTTCATTCGGCTATCTGCGGTCGGCACCTACTGTAGTTACCTGACAATTGCGCGGTCATGCAGAGCTGCACCCACATAAAATTTTTGTCCTTTTTTTCCCACGAGTAGAGCTTTCTTTCGGCGGTATTTGATTGCCTTTTTTTTTTGCGCTATAAAAAAAAAGACCGACAATTTTGAGTAAAAAACAATATTTGTGAATTTATGCTATTAAACATGTCAAGTAAAAAAATGTAAAAAATAAAATTTTGTCCTAAATTTAGGCCAAAATGTATTCTGCTACATCTTAGATAATAAAAATCCCAATACGTGTAAATTAATTGGTTTATGTGAAAGTTATAGCGTTTAAAAATGGCGGTATATATACTGGGCTTTTTTTTTTTGTAATTTTTACTAGTAATGGCGGCGATCAGCGACTTATAGTGTGACTGCGGTGGGCATTGTGACACTGGGGGGAACTGACTTGGTGTCACTGACATCCCCACCTGACACCAATATAGTGATCAGTGCTAATAAAAAGCACTGATACTGTACTAATTGCACTGGGCAGGAAGGGGTTAACATGTGGAAAGATCAAAGGGTTAACTGTGTGTTGTGTGCCATTTTACTTTGTGTCCTGTGTTACTGCTTCACTGTAAGCACACTGCTTTGCATGGCTGTGATGTGTACAACCATGCAAAGCAATGTGCAGGAGGTGACAGGGAGGAGAACTGTTTTGTTCTCCCCCCCATCGGAGATTCGCATGAAGCACCAGGTGCTGGCGAGTAATCACTGACTGGGACTCGGTGATTGACAGCTGCGGACGGGAATGGCGCCGCGGGGTAGGGCACATGTGCGCCTCGAGAGCGCCGCCTACCTGGAAATGCAAAATCATATATATACATGATTTGCGCACAGCTGCCGCCCTGTAGAAGTATTTCTGCTATGGGACAGAGCTGAAGCAGTTAAACAGGGAAAAGGAGGACACTACTTATTACATATTATCCCGCTAAGCCATGGTATGTGAATATTAGTGTGGATCAGTAAAGCCAAATGACCTCTATCAGCCTCCACTAACATCATTCACATTGTCCAGTGAAGTTGATCCATGGTCAATCACAATGATAGACTCTTGCCCCAACTGACAGCTCCAGGCTGGCCACAGATGCTCCCTAATGCTATCGACCAAATATGGTCATGATCATATATGGTAAGTGACATCATCTGCGATACTCCCTGGTTTGTTTACTCGAGCAGGCTGGGAAGTCATTCCTTTAGTGACGATACCAATACTGCCACTAATTGAATGACTTTGGGTTACAGCAACGGCCAGAGGATCAGTGCAGGCACCAAACCTCCCTAGTAGTTTTTTGATGAAAAAAATGTGATTTCTTTCTAAATATAGGCATCACGTTGTCCTTTTGCCAATGCCCTGGTACAAAGTCAGCAATTAAAAAGTTTCTAAAAATCAGAAACAATAGCTTCAAAATAACAGCGCTGGTCCAGATGCTTTATTCACTTTTGTTTTGTCTGTTTCATATCAATTTTATGCTCTTGTTCATTTGAGGCTGTGACAATATTATCCAAGTTAAAGATTTGAGCAGCACCATATACGGTATATACACAAAGCTGTAAAAGATAATAATTAGATGTGTCTTCTCTTTGCTCCCAGTCACCAACAGTTATTTGTGGGTGGCCTACACGCTCAGACCTTATCTTTTATTATTAATATATTTAGATTAATTTGGGGGGTTGTCCTATGCTCTTTTGCATCCTGTTATTCATTTTAAATTTCTGCAGTCTTGATTTCCTTTTTATATAATTTATTATTAGGATTAAGGACAGATGTGATCAATATGTATAAATACACACAGAAAGTGGTCCACATACTGTAGTGATATCGGTCTAGAGCTATTAACCTTAAGGTCATCAGAGGACAAGGGGGCCCTCTTTATGTCTGTAGGAAAAAATATTTAATCTCTAAATACGGAAAGGTTTTTTCACAGTAAGAGCTGTGAAAATGTGGAATAAACTCCCTCAAGAGCTGGTTCTGGCCAGCTCAAAACAATGTTTTAAAAAAAGGCCTGGATTCCTTCCTAAATGCATATAATATACCTGGATCAGGGGTGGACTGACCATTTGGAAACTCGGGCACTGCCCGAGGGCCCGGGGTCAGTAGGGGGCCCCATGAGATGTCCCTGGTACCTTTTTCATAGGCTTTTTTGAGTTTGGGCAAGGACACAGGGGCCCCATGATCCTCTATTGCCCGGGGGCCCCATGAGTTGTCAGTCCGCCCCTGAACTGGATACTAACATTTATAGGTAAAGTTGATCCAGGGAATATCTGATTTCCTTTCAGGGGATCAGGTGGGATTTTCTTCCCCTGCTGGAGCAATTTCAGCCATGCTTTATTGAGGGTTTTTTGCCTTCCTCTGGATCAACTGTGGGTATAAGATGTTTATGGAGGTTTTCTATTTGTGACTTTTTTTTTCTCTGTTGGTTGAACTTGATGGACTTGTATCGTATTTCAGTCAGATTAACTATGTAATTATGTTACTGTATAACTTTGTTATGTTCTTTGTAACTTTTGGATTTTGAAAGTGTTCCTTCATTTTTGTATTTTTAAATGCTCTTTCCTTACTCTTTTTAGTTTTTTTTTATATTGGGTGTGAGCAACCTAGGTGTTACATTTAATTGCCATATCAGTTCTGTGTTCTTGATTGCAATATTTCCTCCCAGTCTAATACTGGGTACACACATAAAGTTTTATGTTCAACCCAGTGGGCTCAGTAATCACCCTACTACTGTATGCATTGAGCTGTGTTCTGACAAGGGACCATCCACACCCCCCCACCCCACAGGACACACTGAGCAGCCCTTAGCAGGTGTACACACGGCCAAAAGTCAGCAAGTTCCTGCTTCCTGCTGAACCAAACAGCTTAGGTCTTGGAGAACATCCCTCAGCACTGGAAAATGTGCTGTTTTAAAATTACGGTAAGTGTTTTTTTTTTCTTTCCATTATGTACTCAATGTTTACAACTTAAATGAATCATATTATGGTCCCTACTACCCAGTTAGCAGGTCCAGCAAAAGCATCAATATAAGTTGGAGCCAGGGGCGGACTGACCATCTGGAAGCTCAGGCACGGGGTCAGTAGGGGGCCCCATGAGATGCCCCTGGTACCTTTTTCATAGGCTTTTTTGAGTTTGGGCAAGGACACAGGGGCCCCATGATCTCCTATTGCCCGGGGGCCCCAGGAGTTGTCAGTCCGCCCCTGGTTGGAGCTTCTATAAACTGTACAATAAAACTGTCTTGCAATAAATTTCTACATTTCCATCCTTTTAGTGTCCCAGCAGTGCTATTACACCAGTCAGTTTTAGGGTAGTTTAAATTACCCATCAGTACCACTGTCCTAACCCCTGCATCCCTTTCTGTCTCTGTAAATATCTGAGCCTCTACCTCTCTACCCTTTAACACTGGGCTTGTAGCAAACTAATTAACTTTGATGCACACTCATATGTAACTCTACCCAGATCGACTTTTGTACAACCAACCTACCCATAGATGAATTGAAATTCAGACAGTTCCTGCTGAATTTTGATGCATCTATCGCCTTCTTTAGTCTATAATGGTAAATAAAGCCCTGGAGAGAAGATTCTATGACAACTTGTAGCGATCATTGGCAATTAGCTATTACAATATATGTGGCTGTCATAAATGATGATGATGATGATGATGATGATATGACACTGAATGGGAAATGACAAGACAGGTAAACATTAACAAATAACAAGTATAGTGACTTTCTGTGCAAACAGTGACAGATGAATCCTGATTTGTATGCATGAGTTTTCTCATCTTTGTTTATTAGTCAAATCTGGGAAAAGACAGGATATTTAAGAGCATACAGTATATGTTTGCAATATTTATATTGCCTTAATTCAGGTAGTGTTTACTAGCTCCACTGTGTGCATATCAATGTACAGGATCTCTGCAGCTTTACGTGAAAATAAACTAAGATACCCTACATTGTAACAATTGTAAATATTACTGCAATTACCTTAATACTTCTGTGCAGCTGTAACTTGCACAAATGTTTATGTTGGTCTCGTATTCCTTTATTTGAAATTCATGGCACAATCAGGCTGAAGTTTCCTCAGAAGGCATTTTCAATATACTCAGCAATAATATACAAGCAAGGGTCTGTTACTTTTGGGATCTTTCAGGACATCAGAGATACTAAATCTGTATGCTATTTTCTGCAGTTATTTATAGACTGGGAGTTAAATTCTCACATTAAATGTAACCCATACTAAAAAAAAAAGCTAATGTTTAAAATCAGTGCTATGCTAGACTTTGGACCTGTTTATAAAAACTGGTAGGCAAAAATAAACATATAATCAATGGTATCAAGGTTTTCTCTCAACTTCTTTCACAAATTAAAAATGAATTCTGACTTACTGATATAGGCACTGTCCTTTGCCCCAGCTTCATAAACCAACACCAATGATTCCTTATATAGTTATAAACCATTTAAATGGGAACATGACAAAGTTATTGTATACTGCAAAAAAGTGACGGAGAACAGAAGAGTCTACCAATGCTTTTCAATTATATATATATTATATCCTGGAAAAGTAAAGTAAAAGGAGTTTAGGCAATTCTACATATAGAGATACTGACATTAGCATGTATTAGACACAGGCAGCACATTTCCTTGATATATTTCATAAACCAGTTCATGAAAATATCTAAAGTATTACAGTGTTAAAATGTAATTTCCTTATACAGTTGCTTAAGTGTTCAAAATACTTTGCAGTGTTACAGAAGCTTCAATCATTTGGAAACCCTCTCTACATATAACAATATATAAAAAAGTGCCCTGGCTTTATGGCTGTGGGAATGATGCCATTTTTGTTTGTGTAAGATCTTTTTTGTAAAATTTTACAGATTGTATAGAATTTGGGGGGTCTACCAGCTTCAGTAAAAAGAAATAAAAGAAAGGACACAGAAAGTGAGCATATGAGTCAGTACTGTGAGAGAGCATATGGATCAGTACTATGAGAATGTGAGAATATATTGGTCAGTACTAAGAGAGAGAGAGAGAGAGAGAGAGAGAGAGAGAGAGAGAGAGAGCATATAGGTCAGTACTGTGAGAGAACATATGAGTCAATACTGTGAAAGTGAGAGAGCATATACACTTACCTGCCACTTCATTAGGCACACCTTGCTAGTACCGGGTTGAAACCGCTTTTACCTTCAGAACTGCCTTAATTCTTCGTGGCATAGATTCAACAAGATGTTGGAAACATTCCTCAGAGATTTTGGTCCATATTGACATGATAGCATGCCTTTCTATTGTCTTGAACCAGTCTGCTCATTCTGCTCTGACATCAACAAGGCATCCTAGATTGTAAGCTCCAAGGAGCAGGGCCCTCCTATCCCTCTTGTATTGAACTGTATTGTTGCTGTATTGTCTCCCGTTATATTGTAAGGTGCTGAGCAAACTGTTGTCGCTATATAAATCCTGTATAATAATAATAATATATATATATACACTCACTATATTGCCAAAAGTATTGGAACGCCTGCCTTTACACGCACATGAACTTTAATGGCATCCCAGTATTAGTCTGTAGGGTTCACCCTTTGCAGATATAACAGCTTCAACTCTTCTGGGAAGGCTGTCCACAAGGTTTAAGAGTGTGTCTATGGAAATGTTTGACCATTCTTCCAGAAGCGCATTTGGGAGATCAGGCACTGATGTTGGACGAGAAGGCCTGGATCCCAGTCTCTGCTCTAATCCATCCTAAAGATGTTTTGTCCGGTTGAGGTCAGGACTCTGTGCAGACCAGTCACGTTCTTCCACGCCAAACTCGCTCATGCATATCTTTAT